AGTAAGTAAATACCTAGAACAGGGTAAACCCAGTTGTTTAGGTGGAAGCTGTTACTGTAATTAACCATTTTTTTTTATCGTTTCCGAGAATCTGGCTTTCATCACCTGGAGTGTTACACTGATGCCTGGGTCGCACCCCTAGAGATTCCGATTCAGTAGATCTGGAGTGGGTTCCAAGAATTTGTATTTCTAAGCAGTTGCCAGGTGATACTAGTGCTTAAGGTCTCAGCATGTAGGACTCACCTGGAGGTTGAAAGGTATTTGCTGTTCAGGTGGTTCATAAGCATATTCAAGTGCAAGAAGCCCAGATATAGAGGAGTCCTAACTTTCAGTTTAATAGTCATTTACTAAATACTAATTCATGCACCTGTGGTTTTTCAGAAGACTACATCTTTCTTGAGGGCCAAGTTTCCGAGGGGGTATGACCTACAGCTTCACACCTAAAGCCCCTGGGAACCCCCAATTTCACTTAACCTAAAAAAGGGAAATGTTAGTGAAGGGTTTCTTTCACTATTCTCTAATAGCCTTCGTTCAGTTGTTTAGAGGTCAAGGGGCAGGCTATGGGGATTGGAGTCTTTCAGTTCAGTTTCATCTTTATTGAGTGTTGGGGACTATGTCGGGGGATGCAATGATGAATAAAACATGGTTCCTGTCCTCTAGGAGCTGACCGCCAATGGAAAGATGAACACAAAATAAATAAATGCTATGTAACCTGAGAAAGAGCAAGGGGAGAGGAAGGCAGGGTTCCCTGGGAGCCCGGAGAAGGGGCACTCAGCTGGCCCTGAGGGATCGGGAGGCTGAGCTGAGTATGAGTTGGCAGTTAGCCAGGCGAAGGAAGGTGGGAAGGGCATCCATGGCAAAAGGAACAACAAAGGCAAAGGCAAGGAGATGTGAAATCTCCTGGTGTTACTAGGTGTAGGATGGTGCGAAATGGACCTGGACAGTGGGGTGGGTCAGGCCCCGCAATTTCAGCTGGAAGGACAATGTGACACCTCTCATATCTCTCCCACTATAGGACCATTTGAGGATTTTCATCCAGTCCACTAAGTGGAATGATTGGTTTCTCTGATTGCTCTCAATTTCACCTTAAAGACAACACACTTGGTCAATAATTTCCCAAGCCTGGTTTAGGCCTGGCCACCACAAGGCCCCATCAAGAGCTCCTGCAGCTGGAACCACATGTCCGTCTAAAAGTAAGGACAATGTTACTAGATTGGGTTGCTAGTAAAAGAGAACCAAATAGCAGTGGCTTAAATGAAATAAGGCATATTTTCTCTAGAAAGCAGTCCAGGGTTCATCTAGGGGACCCATGGCCAAACTCAAGCACTTCCAGCATTTCAATCCACCATCCTTTACTGTCTTGCTATTCAAAACATGGCCTGAGACCCAGCAATGTCAGCATCACTGGGATCTTGTTAGAAACACAGAATGGGGCCTACTCCAGACCTACTGATCCATGGTCAGCATCTTAACAATCTCCAAGTGATTTATTTGAATACCCGTAGTTGAAAAAGTTGGCTTTATTACTCATTGCAGCCAAGGAGACTGCATACCCTGGGGAGCTGTGGACCATCTCAGTAAAACAGTATTTGAAAAGACTTGTAGGACTTGGGTTTTGGTTAGGTGAATTTGTTGGGGTGGGAGTTGTCCAAGGAAGCATGGGTTTGCTCTGGATTGGATACTGTCAGGAAACAGGACAACTCTATGACTGGGTGTCTTAGTACATCTTTATCTATAAGGAAGGCAGACCAAATGGAGGCTAAAGTTGTAGTAATTGCTAAAGAAGCATCTGTCACTCATATTAGCCAGGAGAGGGAGTTATTTAGTATTTTGTGGTTGTTTTTGTCTGTGCTTAGACAAAATTATAAGGGGTCTGTTTTGACTCACTTCATCACAGTCGCAGAGTGACCTTGTCTGATGTTGGTGTTCTGTGAAATTGTTTATGTCTAACAAGAGAACATCTAGGTCAACTTCTAGCAAGACTAAGGCCTAGCTGAAAGTGTCAGGCCAGTTTCCAGATGTCAGGGGCTGCTTTTTCCTATCTCAACATTAAAGACTGAGAGTCAATGTTTTAGTTTATGGCTTCCTTTTTCAAGGTTGCCTTGAGGTCCAATATAGTTGCTAGAGCTCCAGTTATCACATTAATTTCCAGGAGCAGGAACAGGGCAAGGGAGGGTGGAGATCACATTTCCCAGCTCCCTTTAAGAAGTTAAGGAAGCCCCATCCAACTCCTTGCATTTATGCCTCATTGGCTGTCCCTAGTTTCAAGAGAATTGGGAAATAGTCTTTTAGCTGAATGTGTTGCTGCCCCTCCCCAAATCAGGCAATTTCAGTAAGGCATAAGGGGAAATTGGGTACAGAGTAGGCTACTGGCAGTCTCTCTCAGACAGGGCAGCCAGGGCTCAGGAATGGGGAAATTCCAGGCCCTGGGGGGTGGTGAGATTTTATCTCCTCCTCCTTATCAATATTTAACATTCCTGCAACCAGAGTTGGCCCGAACCTTCACAGTAAAAAAGAATAAACCTGTCTCCAAGGTTTGCAAGGAATTCTTGTAAGGTAGAATTTGCTTCTCAAGTTTTCCATACCACTGGCTGGGTGAGCAGGAGTGACATAAATATACAAGTCAGAACTGCCCCCACAGCCACAGGTGGGAGAGGTATTGGGACAAGAAAGGAGTGTCTGTGGGAAGAGTTGGTTTGCTCCCTTAGAAGGTTTATTCCATAAACCAGCACAACGGCTGGGAATCCCAAAGGTTACCAGCCTGTGTATGCAGAAGGGTCATACGTGCCTAATTCACAATGACTCACCCCACCACACACATAACCACCAACTCAAGTAGAACTTCACTCCCTTCAAAGTGTCCCCTAGTCATTTTCTGGAAGCCCCCAGAGGGACCTCTCACATGTGCCTCTTAGTAGTGTGCCAGTTACCAGGTTCATTGCCTCATTTAACACAAATGTATTGAGCACCTTCGAGATGCCAGGTCCTGTGCCAGACACCAATGTCAGCGAGAGAGACACATCACTGACTGTATGGAGCTGACACCTTATTGGAGGAAGACGCAAAAATCGGATGGGTATATATAGTTATAAATTGCGGAAATGCTATGATTAAAAAAATCTGCTAGTGACCAACAAAGGTAAGGTCTTCCTTAAAAAGACCCCAAGTATCCCAATGTGTTCCTGCTTCAAGGCGCAAGTGCTGTTCTTTCTGCCAGGAGCAAGTTTTCCCCTGCACATCCCCATGACTCATTCCTCATCCCTTCAGGTCTTTGTTCAAATGTCACCTTCTCAATGACACCTTCCCTGATGCCACTCCCACCCCCTGCACTCTCTAGTTCCCGTCCTTGCTCTGTCTTCTCCACAGTTTTACCATCTAACATCTGATATATTGGTTTATTGATGGTCTCCTCTCTCTTCCACTAAAACTTGGTTCCATAGAGATCGGAGTTTCTGTCTGTTTTGTCACTGCTGTGTCCCCAGTGTCTAAAAACAGTATATGATATGACTTCAGTGACTGTGTGTTGAGTGAATGAGTAAGCACAGGAAGAGGACAGTCAGGAAGGGCCCCTGGGGCCATGATGAAGAGCTGGCCTTTTCCTCTTTGGGAAGTTGGTGAAGCAAGTTCAAAGGTGATTTGATGTATGTTTTATCACTACTCTGGCTATTTTGGGCAGAATGGCTTGGAAAGAGCCAAGTGTGGAATTGGGAGAGGCAAACAATGTGGGAGGCCGTTGCAGTGGCTAAGGCAAAGAAATCGGTGCCTGGATAAACCAGCTGGATACAGTGCTGGTGTAAAGAGAGCAGGTTAAGAGACATTTTGGTGGTGGACTGGACAAGACTCTGAATTGTGCTGAATAGGAAAGGTATGGGAAAGAAGTCAAAACTGACCCTTAGAATTCTGGCCTCTGCCACTTGAGACAGGGCAGATGGGAGGAAGAACAGGAATGGGGGAAGTCAAGAGTTTCCCTTTGGATGTGTTTTCCCCCTCTTGCTCTGCCCCTCAAGCAGCTTGTGGCCAGAGTCTCAGCACTGCCACCATGGAAGGCCTGTGGCTATGCAAGGTAGGGGCTTGAGACCCGCCAGGGCAGCCAGTCCTTGAGGAGCCCGAGCAATGCTGGGTTCCATTCAGACGGGGGATGTGCCTACCCCGACCTCTGGGCCACACTTTGCCCAAGCCACTCTGGCCATCGCCCTCTAAGGTCCAGGACCTCAGCCTAGTCCATGCGGATAGCGGGGGAGCAGACACCGCCTGCTCCTGCACTGTCCCATTCCCTCTCTCATCTGCAGCACCCCTTGCTCCAACCCAGCCCACCCAGCTCAACTGACTGAAGAGACTGCACATGCCAGTGTTCCAGGGGTGAAATGCAAATAATGAACAAGCAGTATAGCAAGCGCACCGCCAATCAGAACAGACACCTGGCCCATCAGCTTGGAAGCTGTCCAGATAGCTATCAGCACCCCTAGGCAACCCTCATCCAACACCTACCGTCCACCAGCACACCTGGAAGGAGCAGGGAGAGCTTACTAGAGGCTCAGGCCCTCCCCAGAGCCTTGAACCCTGCGGGGAACAGACACTCCAAGGGCTCTGTCCCCAGTTCCAAGGGGACCAAGAGAGGCCTCTGATGGCCTCGCATGCCACAAAACTGAGTCCAGTCTCCTCAAGGTTTGCATATTCTCACTTTCTCCACTTTCTTTCCTGCCCCTTCCTTCCATTCCCCAGATGTGCTCCAGTCCCATCCCCACCTCTCCGCCCCACTCCACCTCCTCCATAAAGTCACCCCTGGCTCCTTCTTCTTTGTCTGTGTTTCTCCTTTGGGTTCTTTGGCATCTGTGTTGGGTTTTTTTTTTTTTTTTGAGGGAGATTAGCCCTGAGCTAACTGCTACCAATCCTCCTCTTTTTGCTGACGAAGACTGGCCTTGAGCTAACATCTGTGCCCATCTTCCTCTACTTTATATGTGGGATACCTACCACAGCATGGCTTGCCATGCGGTGCCGTGTCCCCACCCGGGATCTGAACCGGCAAACCCCGGACTGCCAAAGCGGAACATGCACACTTAACCACTGCGCCACGGCCGGCCCCCAGCATCTGTATTGTTATTTCAGTGTTTGGGGCTATGTGTTTCATCTCCTGGCTTTTTCATTCCTACAAGCTGGAGAGTATGTCTTATGTTCCTACAGAGCGGTGTGGGCAAGCACAGTCTTTGCAGCAGACAGAACGTGCATTCAGGTCCTACCTGCTGCTAAGTGGCCTTGAGCGAGGAACCTAACTTCTCTATGCCTCATCGATAAATGAGGATACTCACGCTTACTTGAGAGGTTCCTGGGAGGGTTAAATAAAACCCTGTTTGCAAAGCACCCAGCTCTGTCTGGTGAGCAGTAGGGACTCCACAGATGTCAGCTGTTATTCTACTATGACGAGTCTCCACAATACTCAACATGACACCAGGCATTCCTTAAGTGCACAGTAAGGGCTCAGTGGCTCAATGGGCTGGATCTCTGTCTTCAGTTGCCTCATGTGAGTTATGCAGTAGGGCATTTGTTTCCATTTTTCTATGAACTTGCCTCATATCTGCAGGACTGGAGAAGTACAAGGCTGATCTTTCATTTCCTCAGAGCCTGAGCTGGCAAAGAGACAGCAGGTCAAGTTCAGGGATAAGTAGAGGAATTGATGCTGGGCCCTACTCAAGGGGTGAAGAGAACTTTTCTCACAAAAATTTTCACTATTCATCCCACTCTTTTCCTCATAGACATCCCTGAAGCAGAGGCAGAAGACAGATTCTAGAACACTCTTTGATGATCTCTCAGGTGCCATGTGCCCTGCAGCAGTGATTGAGGCTCTGTCAGAGAGTGGTGAGCTTCTCTGTGATATGTGGTCATCATGACACCTCCCTATTGACCCTGTCCTGGGATCCAGGTCCTGGACCAGCCATGTTATGTACCAATGTCTCCTGTCATCCGCATGATAACTCCATTCTATAGGTGAGGAAACTGAGGCTTGGCAAAGCTAAGTAACTTACTTAAGGTCACACAGCTGGTAAATAGCAAAACCAAGATGTCCACCCTGTTTGACCTGTCCCAGCCCACATTCCTGCCACTGTGCCACTCCCCTTTGTAATGGGGCAAGCATTGGCCTGGAATTCAAGATTCCAGCTCTGAGCCAAGTGATGGACTTTCCTGATGGACCTCCGCTTTATCACTTTGTAAATGGAAGGAGGAAAGGCCACCCTCCCACTGCCCAGGTAAGAGTTTTTTTGTAGGGGGATTGGTCAGGAAGAGACTAAAGAGTGAAAATAACTTTTTTTAAATTTGTAGCTAACCAGATTCTCTCTTGCAGTAATTTATATCCATTTCCTCTAATCCAGGCAACTCTGAATATGAGAAGAGCAGTCAGCCATTTGAAGAGTGCTATTTAACTCATTACAGAGAACAATCCTTTTGAATCTATGAGAATTTTCTGGAAGTCACATGTCATTTTCACTTTCACCTATTAAAACCGAAGCTTACATTCAGCTTTTTTAAAAGCTTCCCTGTGCAGAGGCGGCCAGCAGCCAGCGGCACAGGCTGGGTCTCAGGCCTGTGCTGAAGGTCAACCCTCTCTGGAATCATAAACCAGCTCAGCAAGCTACAGTCTTGGGCTCAAACCTGAACTTACTTTGAAAGAAAGAAAGACCTGCAAAAAGGTCACAATGAACCAATAGAAAATATTCAATGGCTCTCATTATCTTGACTCAATGTAGGGTTGGGGGGCGATGTAGCACATCCTAAGAGCCCAGCGAAGAATAAACTGAGCCGTGAGGAAATGGAGTTCCTGGGCTGGAGTGGGGCCCAAGGCCTGGATGAGATCCCTTACCACATCTGCTTCCCTCATAAGGGATCCTTAACTCCCAGGCTCTGCCAGGTGGAAGCCAAACCAGCCCTGGGCCAGGAGCCAGAGCAAGGACTTACCTGGAAGGGACATCTGCTAAGCTCTTTGAAACAAATGCAAAAGCTGCTATTTTAATGATCATAAATTCCTATAGCAGGTTCCCCCAGTACCCTGGCTACCATATTAGCAGAATCATTTTTCAATTTACTGGGTACAGAGGAGACTCAGTGCCCACGGCCAAGCAGAGGGGGTGTGTGTGTATGTGTGTGTGTGTGTGTGTATGTGTGTATGTGTGTGTGTATGTGTATACACGTCTGCATTTTTCAGGAGTGAGGATATTTGCATAACAGGTATCTTTGCAGATACCAGACAAACAGGAAGTTTCAGAACCTATGCCATTTCCTTTCACTGTGAATCAGCAGCCTCTTTCTTCTCATACAGAAATGATGAAATCACAGGGTATGGCCCCGGAATGTGAAGACCAGGAGAAGAGCACAAAGCCTTCATAGTCACCTTCTTTGGTGGGTGGCTTCCCTGGACACTCACCCATAGCTGCCCTCCTTGGGCCATCGCTCTCCACCTTCCCAGCTTCTTAGAGTGCTTCAAGAGATGTTTGACACCAGCCCTAAACACATTAGCAAACAGCCTCTAGTCACACAACACGTTACCTCAGTGCTGGTGATGAGGCCCAGCCACAAGGCTAGGGGGAACCCCCACCTCCTAGTTCCTGGCCCCAGGTTTGCATCACAGAGAGGCCCTGCCGAGTAATGAGCACGCCCTGATCTTGGCACCAGAATACCTGGTTCAGACCCCTGCTCTATCCAGAGAGACCTTGAGCAAGCTGCTTTCCCTCTGAGCCTTGGTTTCCCTGTTAGTTAAATGGGCTGATAATGGCTCCCTGCAGATCTGGGGCTAATAATGCATGTGAAGGGTGGGGAATTTAAAGCAGCAATAAAAGCACAGGCTCTGGAGTCAGATACCTGTGTTCAAAACCCAGCTCCATTGTGTACTGGCTGTTGGACTTTGGGCAGATTACCTGTTTTCCAAGTCTTAATTTGACCATCTGTAAAATGGAGATGATAAGAATATCTACTTGCCAGTCTATTGAGAGAGTTAAATGATACATCTCTTAGCACTGAGCACAGCGTCTGGCTCAAAGAAAACTCAACAATGTGAACCAGTTTTCCCACCGCCTCCTCCCTCCTTCCCCACCCAAAATTGCAAGATCCATGAGGTAGGGACCACTGCTGATCTTCAGCAGTGAGTGCCCAGCACCTGGTTTGGCCCTAATAAGGCTTGATAAATCAGTTGAGTGAATGAATGGATGTTCCTAGTTCATAGCAGGTGCTGAAGAAATATATCTATATAAAATAAATTTATATGAAAGCCACAGGCCAAATCATGCTGTCTCTGTTTTTGAAATTTCTAAAAGGACGGCAGTATAGAATAATGATTACAAACATCACAGGCTTAGCAGTCAGATCTGGCATGTCCTTTAACTTCTCTCAGCCTCTCTTTCCTGATCTGTAAAATGGGCACAATTGGTAGCAACTCACCCATGCTGGGTTGTTTCAGGGTTAAATGAGATAATGCATGCAAAGCACCTAACATAGTACTCTGCACATAATAAGCATGTGGAAGAATGTATCAGCTAAATCCCAGTTTCATGACCCTAGAAGAAGATAATACAAAGACTTGACTTTTTTCCCAAGAGGACAAGCCTTGGTACTGGCATCCCTCATGCCTCGTTGCTCTTGGTTCCCTCCTTCCCAACAGTATCCCTCTCCCTCCTTAGGCCTAGTGGTCTGTTCTTGTTGAAGAACTGGAGCTTCTGAGGCCCATCTCCCCCACCTCCTGCAGAGCCCACTCCCCGCTGACCTCACCCTACTGCACAGAAGTACAGGGATGCAGGAGCCTTGTTTCTGCAAGGAAGACAGCACGCTCGCCCAGGCGTTTACTCTGAAGCATGAGTGTTCAGCTCTGTCTTCATGTCGTCTCTGCCACAGTAGTGCTCACTGGCCACTCCTCCAGGAGTAACTCCGGGACACAGTGGACACACAGGCTCAGCACCAAGGTCTAGAGTCGGACAGCCTGACTTTTCATCCAGGCTCTGCTCAGACAAGCTGTTTGATCTCAGGTAAGTCTGCTATCCTTTCTCGACCTCAATTTCCTAATCTATAAAATGGGAACCAATGGTAGTACCCAGGGCTGATATTGAAAACATTTAATAACCAGCTTTGCACTAACCTCTTAAATGAATGTCAGCCAGCACCAGGGTATACTTGCAAATATTATCTCTGCTAATTTCTATTGCAGAGGGTGTTATGGTTTTAGACACATTGTAAACACCCTAAACATTAGCCACTAGTTTTACTATTTTTATGTTCAGCTCATGTCACACAGTTCCTGGCACAGCCCCCAGTGGAGAGACCTTCAGAGAAGTGGTGGCTCTAGACAGACCTTGTCTTCATTCTCTCCCAGGTTAACTAAGGCCCTCCTGCCTCTCTTTGCTCACCACAAAGTCACAAAAATGCTGGGGGTGGGATGGGACCTTGGGCTCATCTGCCTGAAGTGAATCAGAGTGCATCCCTATGTGACCCATGGGTAGGAGCTCTTTTTCCCTGTGAACACTCTTTGCAAATCTTCATCGCAGCAACATAAGAGCCAATACCTGGAGGCCCAGTCACTGAGTGTATATTTACAGTACAAACCAAGCCAGTATGTGGCTAACATATCACACACTGGCACCCCTTGCATTGTCTGGAAGGAACAATCCAGTAATGTTTATTGTGCATGTACCACCGGACAATTTCTGTGTCAGAGGCCAGAGTTGCTTTCCCTCATGTTATCACTCCTTGGACCAGTTTTTTAAAAAGGGTTCCTAGGGCATTCCAAGCATGGAGGCAGCCCTCCACAGCAGCAGGAGCTTAAGTTCAGTCATCCGCAGTTGTGCTTCCTGCGCCCCAACAATACAAAGCCAAAAATAGCAGGGACGCTGGGCCCAGCTGCCCAGAGACCGGAGGTCATCTCTACCCCCAGGGAGAGACTGCTAGAGTCCACATCTACTAAGAGCCAGGACAGCCAGTCACCCTGGAGGCCTGTGATCCCCTGCCTGGGCTTTGACAGCCTGCTGGGCCCCTGTTGTGAAGATTAAAAGCAGCCATCTCTCTCCGGCAGACCTGGCAGTCCATCTATGTACTGGGCTGCGTATCTATGAAGTGCTTTCTTGTCATCTTGTGAAAAATGCTCCTGCTGGAGTGAGTGTGGAAGCTGGCCAGGGAGGAAGATGACTGCACCTCAGAGCATGGCTCTGGAAATGTAACCTAGGTGATGGCTGCTCCATCAAAGCCAAATAACAGAATACACACCCAAATGGGATTTTCTGATAACTGTTAGATCAGTGAACTTTTTTTTTTAGAACTGCAACCTTTGTGAATAGAACCCAGCAGGAATTCACCCATGAGTTTTCAAGCATCTAGATCTGTCCTTTGCTATGTCGTGACTATGAACAATGCAACATAACATGGTAATCATAAACCTACCATTTCTTGTCTGTAAACTATGCTCATATCTCTAGCAGGTATTTATATGTATTCTCTCCTTTGATGTATTCCTTGCCAAAAACCCATGATAAAAAATGATAGTAACAATTATTATTATAGTAATTATACTTCTAACTATAATAGATTATTATATTTAATAAAATAGATTTTATTTTAATAAATAAAACATTTATTAAACTTTTTCAACATGCCAGGCATTGTGCTCATTGTCTTATAACTAACATCTCATTTGTTCCTCTAGGAGCCCCATAAAGCAAGAACTATTATGAGCCCATTTCACAGATGAGTAAGGGGAGACCTGGGACTTCGGCCCAGATCCACTGCACCCAGGGCCTGTGAGCTTCCCCACTGCACCCTCTGGCCTCCCTTCTCAGCCCTGCTGCTTCTCACTCGTCTCCTGCCGGGAGAGACAAGGTCCAGGGGGAGGCAAGGTCCATGGGGCTGAGGAACTCATGGCCAGAGTGTGGGCGGCTGAATCAGCCAAACTCCAGAATGCAAACCCACCTGGCTTTCTGGGCAGGTCAGGATTCTGGGGCTGGCATCCCACTGCCTCCCTGTCAGTCAGTGCGGATGCATGGTAACTCTCCCGTTAGCACAAACAAAAAAATCAGGATGACTTCTGAAGCTCTGTGACGGCCCTGGTTTAGCCACTCGAACTATTAAATTTAGGCTTTGGGGACTGAAGTTAGAAGACCGAGGACTGGATAACATTAGCAGAAAGTACAGAGATCCTGTATACTTCCTCCCTCCCCTCGTCAGTTTCCTCTATTATTAACACCTTGTATTAGGGTGGTACATTTGTTACAATTGATGAACCAATATTGATACATTATTACTAACTAAAGTCCGTAGTTTACATCAAGGTTCACTCTTGGTGTTGTACATTCTATAGGTTTTGACAAATGTCTTCAACACAAAAGTCCTGGTTCACTCCTCCTTCAGAGCAGGGAAATAACTGTATGGCTTTCACAACCAGTTAAAATTCATTACTGCTGAGTGTACACAAAGATGTCATTTATGTCAAGCTAAATAGTTTAGAATGTCAACAGAATTTGAAAGTAAAATTTTGGAATAATTCTGGAGTATAATCGAATTTGTACGACTATTACGATGTTGTATGATGTTATTAGATTCTTGAATTTTAATATATTCCATTTCTTTTTCTTCCTTGAATGCTGTTTTTCTTATTGAATTATTCCTTCCTCTACTTAGCATGCATACCTCTGCTTTGGAAAATCACACTCATGCTTTATTAGCTCAACAGGGCAGGAGGCAGGCCTTATTTGTCTTTGTAACACCTAAGTATTTATTGAATGAATATTTTGGAGAAACGTATCTTGTTTTTTCCCTCCAGTTTGAAAATGTCTTTCCATTGAGTCAGTCTTTACAGATGGAGTACAGATATGTACTCGTGAATATCACTGGAATGTTATTAACATACAGATTTAACATGTATTTAAATGTACTGTTTACTTCCCCGGGTCACAAAGTCTTGGAGGAGATAACAAAGGGCATGAGTTCACTCTCAAGGGTGTGTCCCTGGGGTTCCAAGCCCCCCATCTCAGGCCTTTCTCACAAGGTCTTAGATGAGCCTGTTGCTGCTGCTGTCAGGGTCCTTTACACACTGTCCCTTGGGTCCTCTCTAAGGCCAGCTGCTCCTGATCCCTTTAATGGTCTCTGCATTCACACTCACCAGTGGTGCCTCTCGGGAACCAATTTATAGAGGCCCTGGTGCCTTGGACCACTGGTACTGTGCACCTCCGTAAGATGATGGCTCTTCCCTGGGTTTTCAGTTTTATCAAACTCCTCAAAGGAAGAAGAAGGAAGGAAGACTCTTTGTATTTAATTTGTTTGACTGATTTGTTTGATTAACCTCTGGTTCCTTCCACTGAAGAAACAGAGCCTAGTTTTCGGAGAGCATTTTGAATGACTGTCACACTCAAAGTCACTCCTCCTACTGTCCCAGGTGTGACCCAAGAGGAGCCCTGCTAGCTAAGACCTTCCTCCCATCTCATAGAGGGACAGCCCACCCCTCCCTGCTTTGATCAGGAGTCCTAATTCTAGTGTCCCAGGTCTTGACCATCAGTTCAGTGTTCTCTACCTCTTTTCTCCAGAAGTGCTAGGAATGAGCTCTCAAGAAAAGCAAAGTTTCTGTGGCCCTCCCTCCCATTCCAGAATTCCTGTGGTGGGCAAGCTGAATTGGCCCTGCTTTTGTTAGAGTAGGATGAACCACTGTAACAACTAGACCCCAAAATGCATTGACTCAAATACAATAGAAGTGTATTTCTAGCTTGTGTAATGTTCTAGGTTGGATGTTCCAGGTCAGCAGGTGGCTATGCTGCATGGCAATTCAGTGACCCAGGCGCCTCCCAACTGTGGCTGCATCATTCCCAAGGGCCTTGAGCCAGTGTAAGGGGAACAAGAACATAGAGAAAGCATGTTGCTGTCTCTAAAGCTCCTCACACTCCATCGGCTGGAATTCAGTCTTATGGCCCCCCAACCTGCAAGATGGGCTGGGAAATACTACCTAGCTCTCACCCAGCAAGAAGAGGAGATAGATTTTGGTGGAAAGCCCACAGCCCCTACCACAGAACCCATTCTTCTTCTTCCCAAGTCTACCCTCCCTTACCTTCCTGTTCTTGCCTCATCTGTCACCCTTGCTATATGACATATTGAGAATTTTATAATTCAGGAACTAATATAATCGAGAGACAGCCACCTCCTGCTTCTAAGGAGCAGACAATAGAATTTCACAGAGGACTAATTATTGCTGTCTTCATAACACACGCCATATCCCAGTGCTGGTCTGCGTTAGCGTTCTTTGAGTTTTTGTTTGTTTTAAAATGTATTGTCTGTGCTGTTATTCATTATCCCCAGCCCTCACTAATGTGTAGCAGCTCCAGGGGAAATATAAACTAAATGTTAGCAAACATCTTCCCTGAGCACAAATGCATTTCAGAGCTTTGAGCTTAATATCAGTCTTATGATGTTAATCTTTGGATAAGTTCTTAGGATCCCATTCAGACACATTTGCCTTAGTTAATAAAAAGCAGGAGCAGACTTGGGGTTATAGCCCTTGACACAAGGGACCTGTAGCTTCTACACCCACTCCAGTTGAGGCTGGTTCCTCCCATCTATCAACAAACAAGAGAAGTCAAGTTGATTTAGCGGGGCTTTGGACATTTATTGGGTGCCCAGTGAGATAATGTGAACTTTTGGCTTAGAGATGGGGGAGGGCCAATGGGAGAAGGGGGGATCAAATGTGGTGGCATCTCCAGAAACTGTAGTGGTCCATGGGAATTGTCTAACTGGAGGTAGCCATCTGCCTTATGGTGAGAGACTCCCCAATTTTTTATCATGTCATATTCCCCTTTCTCTTCCTAATTGTTCTCATTGTGAGTACATCCCAGCCAGAGCCTGCCTTCTGCTGTTAATCCACTGGCTGGCCTCAGCTTGTCTTGACACCTATCCCTCAGGGTCTCAGGGCTTAAGATCTTGCTGGTACTCTTTGGTGTGTGACTTTGGTAAGCCCCCCATTTCCAGGTACAGCCCTCTCCATCTTGACAGTCCCCTGTCGGTATCTCTCCCCTAGTTCCCCATGAGAACCTCCTGCTGCCCCTCCCCCAGGCTGGCCCTCGTGGGAGGCAGTGCCTGGACTGCTTTCTGCATACTGTGACCCAAGGGTTTGGACACCTCTAGGTGCCATCCTCCTCCTCGGCCCCTATCTCCATCTGCAATCTGCAGTGCAGTCAGTCCTTCTAGCCCAAGACCCCCTATAACTGTGCTCCTCCTCCCTGCACAGCCAGAGGGCTCCTATGTGCTGCCTGACATTGGAGCCTGCACAAGCAGTGAGGATCATTCCCACCTCAGAACTTCCTTCCTGCTGTTTTCCCAGCCTGGAATTCCTGATCTGTCCCTTTCCGTCTAGGCTTATCTTGTCCTCACTGCTCCTACTCCCACGTGGAGCCTCCTCTGATGAGCCCACAGGGGATTTCTTGAGCTCTGCCTCATTCAGGACCCCTGGATCAGGGTAGCTATTACCAGGCCCAGGTGAGTAAACCTTAAGCAGAGTCCCCCATTAGGGCAAAAGCTCTAGATTTTCTGTGGGATGAATCTACTGGAATTGTGCTGGAGGCAATAAACTTCCCTTCTCTGTTAGTTAATAGAAGCTTTTAGCCACAAAGGGGAGGGGGCACACTTTGTCCTTGCAGTGGTGGAGAATGTAGAAATACCAGGTGAATCCACTCTCTGGTAGCCGTGGTCAAAAAAGAGTGAGTACTTCCTTGTTTTGTGGATATAGTGTGGCCTTAGGAAGTTTGGGTGAAGTTTTTATCCCAGATGTCTCTAGAGGTGAAAGTGTCTCCAGGTGTGCATCCAGGTGTGGATCTTGGACCACCTGCTTCAGAACCACCAGTGGCACTTGTTAAAATGCAGATTCCCAGTCTTCTCCCCCAAGACCTAGTGAACAGGAACCTCTGAATGTGGGGCCTGGGAATCTGCATCTTTCTCAGGCACTCTCCGTTGCTTGGCTGTGGTCTGTGGTCAGCTGTTTGGCACAGGTTGCTGTCACCTTAGCCCTTCCACCACGAGGGCCTTCCAGCATAACCTGGGAGTCCTGGAGCCTCCTGCCTCAGTATCAGAGACCTGATGGACCCACCTCATCGTTCCAGGCCAAGTTTCACCCCTGGTTTTGGCACACTGTCCTATACCATATTGCCTAAGTGGGCATTCTATGAACGTTTGTTGAACTGAACTAGTACCCTTGAGGGCAAGGCCTTGCCTTCTCTGTTTCCTTGGGGTCACCTCCTGGCACATGATAAGTATTCACTCTACCCCTGACAGTAGGTTGACCGAAGAGGTCACAGATCCAGCCACATCTGCAAAAAGAGACAGGAGAGGAAACAGCAGCTTTAGTTTAATGCCATCCTCCCTGCTCCTCAGGATGTTTCTAGAGAAAGAAGCTGTTTTGTTCATGTTCACAATCCACAGATTCTCAGCTGTGCGGCTAACCCTTCACTATTTTTAAAAAAGAAACACTGCAGAACAGGAATTGTACAGGTTATCAGTGCAGTAAGATTCTATTCAGGGGAGTTGGGGAAGTTGTAGCAGAAAGGGGGACCTTGAAGAGTTTGGAAGATTAGGATAGATGGAGAAGAGGTGGGGAGGGTCCCCAGGCTAGGAAACCACCCAGAGGTCAAAATTAGCTTGACATGGATCTGAGGGCAGACAGAAGGCAGCCTACTTCCCTACCAAGCCAGCCCTCTGCAGGCTCCAGGTCCGACATGGGGAGACCCATCTCATGCAGCCTCAGTCTCAGTCTCTTCAACATCACCAGAAGTCCTATTTATCGTTAACCGACAGTGGCATCACCACTGCTCCTTTCAGCAGACAAATGAGGAGGGCCCACTTTTGACACCCCGACTACATTACACCCAGAATAACAATGAGCTGAATCATTAGCTGAATCAGTAGCAATTAGTTGCTACTAATTGCTTAGTCTAAAACTGTTTTCAAGTGCAAGGTGAAGAGAGATTACCAAAAATGAAAATACCGTTTTTGCTTGTACATAGTATCTTTCACAGCACTCCTTGTATAAAAAAAGCAACTATGGCCTTTTAGACCAATGGTGCCTAATGTGGATGGTTACCAAAGATCACCTGGTGAACTTCTAAAAATTATTCCTAGGTCCATCTCAGATCAGTGTTAAATCAGGACTTCTAAGAAGGGAGCTGGGTTATCCATATTTTTAAGACTCCCCGTGATATTTTCATGAACAGTCATGTTTGGAAACAGTGCCCTAGACATTTCAACATGCCTCAACTTTCCTTCGTATATTCCTTTGGTCGAGTACGAATCCTAGGACTCCCTCTTCACTACTCTTTCCACCTAACTCCATTAGTTATTCTTCTTCCCAACCAACGAGAAATTTCAAACTGCAGAAAAGTTGAAAGACCTCTACTGCAGTCACTTGTGTACCCTCTACCTAGATTCTACATTTAACATTTCGTTACATTTGCTTTATCTCATATCTATTCATCCATCTATCCAAACATCCCTCCATCTTATTTTTTTATGCATTTCTAAGAGAGCTACAGATCTCAATATCCCTCACCTGTAAACATTTTAGATTGCGTATCATTAATTAAGTTCAATATTTGTGGATAGTTCTTTTTTTCATATAAAATTTTACAAAAACTAAAATGTGCAAGTCATAAGTGCACCAATCAATGTGTTTTGACAAATGTCTATCCCTGTGTAACCCAAACCCTCATCAAGATACAGAATATTTCCGTTACCTTGCTGACTACCTCTTCCCCTCTCAATCTCCATCCCCATTTTGAGAACAACTACTATTCTGATTTTTTTCACCTTAGATTAGTTTTACCTGTTCCAGAATTTCATATAAATGAAATCGTACAGTATACTCTTTTTGTGTAAGGCTTTTGTCACTCAGCTAAAGAATCATCCTTTTTTGCGTTTATTAGTAGTTAGTTACTTTTTCTTTTTGATTTTGTTCCATTTGCATGAGTATACCATAGTTTGTTCACCCATTCTCTTGTTGATGGACATTTGGGTTGTTTCTCATTTTTAGCTATTATAAATGAAACTGCTATGAACATTCTTGTACAAGGATTTTGTGGGTATGTTTGATTTCTCTTAGATAAATACTTAGGAGTAGAGTTGCTGAGGAGTAAGGTAGGCATATGTTTAGTATTAGAAGAAACTGTCCAGATCTTTTTTCTAAGGTGTTTGAACCATTTTATACTTGCCAATAATGTATGAGAGTTCTGGTTGCTTGACATCTTACAACATTTAGTGTTTGCAGTCATCTTACTTTCGTCTATTCTGGTAGGTATGTTGTGATATATCACTGTGGTGTTAATTTACATTTCCTTGATAATTAATGATATTGAGCACTTTTTCACATGCTTGTTGGCTTGTGGTGTATCTTCTTTTGTGAAGAGTCTGTTCACACATCTTTTTGCCTATGTTTGATGAAGTTGTCTTTTATTTTTGAGATTCAATATGGTATGTGATTTACTTTGATTGTAATAGCTTTCTTTGGTTTTGATATCAGGGTTATGATAATCTCATAAAATGAGTTCATTTTGTAAAATAATTTGTGTTACTATATCTTTTTCCACCTTTTTACTTACTACCTGGCTCTGACTGTACATTTATAGTGTGCTTGTAGACAGCATAAAATTGAATTCTTGTGCTTTTTTTTTCCAGTCTGACAATCTTTTGACTTTTAAGTGGATGTTTTAGTCAATTTATATTTAATGTAATTAATGTATTGATGTCATTATTTGTTTTTAGTTTGTCCAATCCATTTTTCACTCCTCCGTTCCTCTTTCATGCCCTCTTTGGAGTTAATTATTATTATTTTTTTTTAGAATTACATTTTAATTTGTCTACTGGGTTTTTAGCTATCCCTATTTGCATTAGCTTTTTTTTTAAGTAGGTACTCTAGGGGTTATAATAAATATCCTTAACTTTCAACAATTTACTTAGAGTCAATATTGTACCACTTCACAAAAATGCAAGAATTTTGCAACCATATACAGTAGTCCCCCTCATCCAAGTTTTATGCTTTCCATGGTTTCAGTTACCTGCAGTCAACCACTGTCCAGAGTGGATGATCCTCTTGTTATATCATCAGAAGGTCAATAGTACACTACGTCACAATGCCTATGTCACTCACCTTACTTCACCTCATCACATAAGCATTGCATCATTTCACATCACAAGAAGAAGAAGAGTACAGTACAATAGATATTTTGAGAGAAAGAGAGACAACATTCATGTAACTTTTATTACAGATACTGTTGTAATTGTTTATTTTATTATTATTGTTGTTAATCTCTTACTGTGCCTAATTTATAAATTAAGCTTTATCATAGGTATGTACATATAGGAAAAAATATAGTATATATAGGGTTTGGTACTATCAGCAGTTTCAGGCATCCGTTAAGGGTCTTGGAACATATCACCTGCAGATAAGGGGGACTACTATAGTTTCATTCACTGCCTTCATCTATATGCTGTAGTTGTCATATGTATTACATCTACATGTCTTATATACCTTGTAATACAATGTTATAAATTTTGCTCTAAATACTGATGTGTATTTTAAAGATATTAAGAGAAAAATAGACTTTTACATGTACCCACATATTTAGCATTTCTAGTATCCTTTGTTCCTTCCTGATGATTTGAGTTTCTATCTGATATCATTTCCCTTCAGCATTAAAGAACTTTCTTTAGCACTTTTTGTAATTCAGGTCTGCTGATGATTAATTCTCTTAATTTTTGTTTGTATGAAATCATCTTTATTTTACCTTTGTTTCTTGAAGTGTATTTTCTCTGAATATAGAATTCTGGGTTGACAGGATTTTCTTTTTCTTCCAGCACTTTAAAGAGGATCCATTGATTGTGACCTCCACTGTTTCTTTCATTATAAATGAATCAGCTGTCATTCATATTATCAGTCTCCTGTAAGTAATGTGCCATTTTCCTCTAGCTAATTTTCTCTTTATGTTTGGTTTTCAGCAAAGATAGAATACATGCTGATGTGTAGTTTTCCATGTATTTTTCCTGCTTGGGGTTTGCTTATATTTTTGCATCTGTCTTTTATCAAATTTGGATTAATATTGGCCATTACTTCTTCAAACATTTTTTCATGACCCATTTTCTCCTCTCCTTCAAGAACTTCAATAATATATAATAGGCCTCTTGATACTGTCCCACAGGTCTCTGATCACCTGTTCATTTTTTTAACCTCATTTCTCTCTGCTCTTCAGATTGGATAATTCCTGTTGATATAGCATGAAGTTCACTGACACTTTCTTCTGTTGTCTCCTATCTTATGTTGGGCCTATCCAACAAATTTTTATTTAATTTTGTATTTTTCAGTTCCAGAATTTCAAGGTGTTTATTTTTTAATAGTTTCTATTTATCTGCTAGGATTTGCTTTCTTTTCATTCATTGTGAGCTTATTTTTCTTTACATCCTTAAGCATAATTATAATAGCTGCTTTAAAAACTTTGTCTGCTAATTCCAATATCTGGGCCATCTTGGTGTTTGTCTCCATTGATTGCCTTTTCTCTTGAGTATGGCATACATTCTCTCTTCTTGAAACATCTAATGATTTTGAATTTGATCGTTGCAAATGATACAGTGTATAGACTCTATATTCTGTTATATTCTTTGGTAAAGTGTTGACTTTTATTATTGTTGTTTTAGCAGGCAGCTAACTTGGTTAAACTCAAACTTCAAACTCTATCTCCCCTCCAGCGGGCAGCAGCTACATTCTATGTTTGATTCTTTTAGCCTTAGCTTGGAGTTTGCCCCATACTGTCACTCGGAAGTCAGCCAGAGATTTGAGCAGAGTTTATATGCAGATTTTGGGGCTCTCTCTCTTTGGTTCTATCCTTTTCAGGGTTCTCCTATCACTTTATAGCTGCTGTGGCAGCTCCAAATTCATTTCTTAATTCCTCAAGCCAGTAAAACTTCCAGTTTGCTTCCAAATTATAGTTAACCCTACACACCTGACTGGGATATACCATCAGGTAAAACCATAAAAGTAAAAACTTTTTAAAAGGGAAGCTCACCCAGGGTCATTTTCTCTTTGATGTATCAGCTCTCCTCCAGTTTCTGCTTGATTATGATCATACACTAGTAATTTCACATTGTTGTTTTTTATTCTTTGTCCAGAGTCATCCTTGTCATCCGTGTGACATCTGTGTGAAGGTTCGTCCAATATGAACTCTTATACCATTTTTGGAAAACAGAACTCTATCACTACTACTTGTACTACCTTGAGAGACAGCTGGGAAATCATCTGGATTTTCTTTTTCTAGCAAGGCTGTAAAATGCGGTAGTAGTTAAGATCCTAGACTCTGTGGCTCAATTTCTTGGGTTCAAATTCCGGCTCACACCCACGGTGACTTTGCACAAAATACTTGTCTTCACTTTGCCTCAATCTCCTCACCTTTAAAAATAGGAATAATCCTGGGGCCGGCCCAGTGGCACAGCGGTTAAGTTCACACATTCCACTTTGGCGGCCTGGGGTTTGCTGGTTCGGATCCTGGGTCTGGACATGGCACCACTTGGCACGCCATGCTGTAGTAGGCGGTCCATGTATAAAGTAGAGGAAGATGGGCATGGATGTTAGCTCAGGGCCAGTCTTCCTCAGCAAAAAGGGGAGGATTGGTGGCAGATGTTTGCTCAGGGCTAACCTTCCTCAAAAAAAAAAAAAGAAATAGGGATAATCCCAAAGTATCTCCTAAGTTTGTTGTGAGGTTTGAATAAATTGACATGTAAAGAGCTTGGAGGAGTACCTGGTTGATAGCAAATTATAGATAAGACAGTTTTGCTGGGGTTTATTGACCTGTTTTCACTTCTTATCTCAGTAAATTTTTTCGTGCACAGGGTTTGGGGCAAAGTTAATTACCACCATTTTACAGACGTGCAGACTGAAGATGCCAAAACTGTAAATAGAAGTCAGAAATTATGGCTGTATTCCTCTTGTTCTTTGCCAGTTTACTCAGCTATCATCTTTTCCTCACCGCCCATTATCCTGACTCCTTCAATGAAATGAGCTTGCCTAAAAAAGTCTATCACATGTCCCATTCACTGGGCTGGGGGGAACCCCAGATCTCTTGTTAAATAAGGACACCATGTTATGAAGCTTTTTTCTTTTATTTATGTTTGAAAGGCTACAACATTCTCATTGCCTAAGAGACAAAGCCCGTTCTCTCAAATGCTTTTCTCCTTGGCCATAGACCCCAGCCTTGAGTTCATATTCTGAACCTATGACTTCTTTTAAGTGGTTAGTTTATTATTAAAAATGTCCTTCAGACTTTATCTAAACCTTGGCTGGTGCAGCTGGAGGTGGCAGGGTGTGAGAGCTGATGTTGTCAATTGTTCAGGCCTATACACCAGGAAGATTCTGGTACCTGTTCCACTCAGAGTTCCCCTCTCCAGTTCCTGCCAAACCACAAATCACCTTTTAAAAAAGCTGCAGTGGTGAGTTTCCCTTTTAAAAATACCTGTCCCCTGATGAGCCTGTGAGAGAATGCTGATTTTGAAATGGGCTTAGTTTCATCCAGATTACAAAGTTTGGCCTGAAGGCTGTATGGGATATATTTTTTTAAACATTTGAATTCAAATGCTTTTGGGCAGGACAGGCACCACCAATCTCTATTATGCTTTGACTGGTTCCAGCATGCATTTAGGTTGCAACCCTTCTAGCAAGTTCTATCCAGGAGCATCTAGAAGAGTAGAAGAAATCCTGGATTTTGACTCAGCCATTGGCACTTGAGTAAGGGGTCCAGAGACCAGAAAACATCAACAGTAGTAGATTCATATCTGAATATTATCACCAAAGATATAGAAACATGCTTTCAAGGCCCCAAGTCCTAGCCCACCAGTTCTAGGCTCAGCTGCTATCACAAGTTATTTAGGTTCGTCTTATGGTTATACAAGAAATAGTTGGAAAAATCCACCTGCACAGCCTAATTTTATATCTCAAAAACTCAAACCTAATGTGGTATTATTTGTAGGCAATATCACAAGCAACTCGGATACTCCTGTACAAGTCAGGAATGACTCAGTATTTAATTGAATGAAATGAAGCTGATCTGGGTCCTTGGAACTTCAGAGGAGAGCTTGGAAATGCAACAGGAGCTGCTAGAGCTACAGACCCAGTAATGAATGTTGCCTGCGGCCTCCCCTACAGCCTCTCTGCCTCTGGTCTTACACCACTTCCCCCTCCTCAATTGAGACTCTATATCACTAGCCACAGGGAGCTTCCTCAGTTACCATTTGATAGTCTGAGTCTCTTTCCTGCTCAAAATGCCTTTAATGACTCCCAGTGCCCTCAGAAGAAACCCCAATTCAATGACTTGGCTTATAGGGTCAGAATCTTGACCTGAAGTGCCTCCTCAGCCTGAATTCTCACTACACCACTCTCTCCACTCCCTACATCTTATGCTCCAGCTACAGAGTCATAGGATGTGCTGTGCCCATGCTGTTTCCTCCACTCCCTGTCCCCAAGTCCTGTCCCCACTGTATTTGTTTCCTGTTGCTGCTATAACAAATTCCCACAAACTTAGTGACTTAAAACAAAACAAGTTTATTCTCTTAGACTTCTGGAGACCAGGAGTCTGAAATCAGTTTCCCTGGGCTAAAGTCAAGGTGTCGGCCACGCTGGTTCCTTCTGGACGCTTTGAGGAAAGAATCCATTTTCATGCCTTTTCAGCTTCTAGGGCCTCCTGTCTTGCATGGCTTGTGACCCATCCTCTGTCTTCAAAGCACATCGCTCCAGTCTCTGCTTCTGTGGTCAACTTGCTTTCTCCTCTGCCGAAGTCAAATCTCCCTCTTATAAGGACACTTACAATTACATTTGGGGCACTCAGATGACCCAGGATAACCTTTCATCTCAGGACCCTGAATTTAGTCACACCTGCAAAGACCCCTTTTCCATATAAGGTGACATTCACAGGTTCTGTTGATTAGCATGTGGACCTCTTTGAGGACCCAACAACCTAGCAAACCCCTAGCTGCCCTCCAGGCTCTACTCAGACTTTATTTTTCTCCCCTGAGAGGCCTCCCTGATCCCCAAGTCTGTGTTCAGGGACCAGACTCCCTAGTGTAGCAAGTTGCACACCAGATTGTAATTGCCTTTTTGTCTCCCTTCTCTCAACTATCAGCTGCTTGAGGGCTGGGATCTCATCCACCCTCTTCCTCTCGATACCCCCAAGGTCTGGCACATGATATATGCTCAAGATATGTTTGCAGGGATAAAAGTGCTCTTCTGGCTGACAACTCCAGGATGAATAGCCCTGATGAAGTGTGCACAGAGGTCTCCTGGTCAAGGTGATAAAGGGGCCTGAAGAAAGCAGGGCTGTAGCCAGGTGTGCTGGCTGGATAGGTCACATTATGCCCTGGAGGTGCGTCCCTTGTGTTTAGACTCTAGAGCTTTGCATCAGGTGTACAACAGCCCACCAGCAATAGACTGGGCTCCTCAGGTCACATGCACTGCTCACTGCAACTTTCCTATTGCCCTCACCCAAGGGACATGACCCTTGGGAACAAGTGCTCAGAGTCCAACTTCACTGCACCACCGTGGTGATCTGTGACTGGCTCATTTAGACATTGATTAACTTTTCAGGGAAACACAATCATTAGTAAATTCCATCCACCTATCAGGGAAGGTATAAACATAAGCAAACATTAACCTAGACACATGGGTTTACAGCCCACAGCTGCCCTTGGGCACGTTGGTGGTGCCAGCTTGTCCCTGGATCCAGGTAGCTACTCGGTTAAAGGGAGTGAAGCTGACAGTAAAATGCTTTCAATTTATGTCAACAGATACAGGAATGTGACCCCTGGAATGTGGACTTAAACATCACCAAGGTTTATGTATGAGCAAGAAACACAAACTCACATACCCCTCAAGGCACTATTATCTCATGGCTGCACGTGTTTATTCCTGACAAGGCTAACCTAGTTTTAATCACTTAGTCAAAACTTATGCCACTAAAAATGTCCTGCAGAATAGGGGTGCAAAGGGAAAGAAGTCTTGGTAAGCTGAAACCTTACTAGAGCAGGCATCCTGCCCTTCGCTCTTGCAGGCAGCAAGCTCAACTGTTTACTGCTACACTCTTCGGCTGTGTGGTGGAGGTAGAGTGGGTGGGAGAACTTCTGTGAGTTTCCTCTGGATGGTTAAGGGTGCAGATAGGCTGGGGAGTCTGGTCACCCCTCAAAAAGCATACACCTCTTTGAGACTGCAAATGCCAGGATAGCGTAGGACCAACCACCCCACTCTGTGGAGTCCACCAAGCCACTTCTGCCATCTACACCCCGTCAGGAATCTGCGTGCTGGTGGCTGGACATTTTGGAACTCACAGTCAAAACACTGGTCCTACTGGAAGCCCTAAAATCTTCATTCCAGTCTGATCCCTCAGCTTATGGGCCCTGTCTATAGAGTCTTTGGCTCTTTCTAGACAGTTCAGAAGACATTCTTTCTCCTTATTTTGCTCAAGAAGCTCCTTTCCACCCTTGATTTTCCTTCCTCTCTTCCCTCTGCTCTGCATCTTTAAATCACTCCCTCACTCTGTTACCTCCTCCATTTAGAGTCCTGTGCTTGTGAGCATCCTGGGCAAGGGAGAAAGACAGCCACAAGAGAGGGCCTTGGAATGAATAAGAATTGTACTTTTGATTCTGACATGTCACATAACTAGCGTCAATTATAAAACTGAAATTTCTCTTTTCTCTATCATCAACCCTAAATTGACAGGCAGCTTATGGTCATGATTAGAGCATGGGTTTTGGAGCCAGACAGATCCAGGTTAGTGGCAGTTCTGCCATTTATAAGCTGTATGCCCTTGAGCAAGCTAGTCCATGTTACAACTCCTTAGTTTCCCCATCTGTAAAATGGAATAACAGTGATACCTACCTCACAGAGTTTTTATGAAAACTAAATGAGATTGTGAATGTAAAAGATTTAACAATTCCTTATGTATACAGCAAGTGATGAATAAACGTTAGGTGGTGTTATTATTAGCAATGATAGGATTGTGGGTAATATAGGAGCATAGTATACAAACTTTGGTTAGATACTGCTGGTGAATCAACCACCATGTCATCTCTATCTTATATTCATGGTAGATGAAGGTATATATGGCAGTTGGAAAACTTTTCCAAGAGCACAGGCAAGATAAGGTCATGTAGGATGGAATTCTGAA